CTGAAACCCTAATATCTATTTTCAGTTCGAATTCTCACTCGAATAATTCCAGATCTGCTCTTTCACGCTGCAATTCATTATGTGAGTATCAATTATTCACCCTGCTTGATTTGATTGATTGGATTTCATTGAGCAAGCTAAGAGTTCAAGTATAACATCTTGGCATTTGTGAGTTCTGTTTGAATCTAAAGGCGGCGTGGGACGGAGGAGATGGAGTTTAACTCGGGTGGCGGCGGAGGTGCAGGAAGCGGTGGGAATGACGTGGAGCTGTTGTCTAAGACGTTACAGGTGGAACATAAGCTGTTTTACTTTGATCTCAAGGAGAATCCGCGCGGTCGTTACCTGAAGATATCGGAGAAGACGTCGGCGACAAGGTCCACCATAATCGTTCCTTTCAATGGAATCTCTTGGTTCTTTGATATCTTCAACTACTACGTCACTTCTGATGACCAAGATATTTCTAGCAAGGAACTCCAGCTTGATAGCAAGGCAATTTATTATATTACACATTTCACATACTATACATATGCTGTCATATATATTACTCTGCAAAATGTGGGATTGACTTTCCTAGTTTCTCGACAATTATCATAGATTTTTCTTTCAAATAACTTTCATATTTATCCAATTACCTTTCTGATTAGGGTTCTTTCTTCAGGTGTTTTACTTTGACATTGGGGAAAACAGGAGGGGTCGATTTCTCAAGGTACGCAGTTTGACTCAGTATGCTTAAAAACATTGAAGTTTATAGGGTTTCCTTATGTAGGAATCACTTTTGTATACTTTGTATTTGCAAATTTGCAATATGGATATACCAAAAGAAAATGCAATAATGTTTGTTCTGATTGCTAATCTTCAAAGCTTTAGTTAAAGAATAGGTTCTAACTTCTAAATGCAACCTGTTATTGTACACAAACAGAATCTTTAAAAACATGAAACATGAAAGCATATCCTGTGTTAATGGAGTATGTCTACAGGTATCCGAAGCTTCAGTTAGTAGAAACAGGAGTACTATAATTGTCCCAGCAGGAAGCACTAGAGATGAAGGGTGGAGTGCATTCAGGAACATCTTGGAAGAGATAAATGAAGCATCTAAGCTTTTTGTTCTTCCCAATCAGGTTCCATTTTCAACCTTTCTCCACCTTTCTTTTCAAGCAACCAATCCATCTTCCCGTCTTCATGATCCAATTTCTTCCTGTTTTTCTATAATCAGCAAAATACCGATGCCATCACTCCAGAGAGACTTGTTGGTCTATCTGATGATGTTGGAGCTGGATTTATAGCTGGAAACAGCTCCCAAACTACCCCTCCAGCATCATCTGAGTTGACATCTACATTTGAGTTGCCTCCTCCATCTTCTGATGAAAGTGGTGGCTTTGGTGTCTCCAAAGTGATCAGAGCTGATCAGAAAAGGTTTTTCTTTGACCTTGGAAGCAACAACCGTGGCCATTACTTGAGAATATCTGAGGTATTTTTTTTTTCTTTAGAGTACAATTTATTAGGATAGAAGTTGAAAAGTGCAATGCTACAATTGGTAGATCTTTCAAACTATATTACCTTAATAAGAGAATGAAATTATGGTGATGATGATGTGGACAGGTGGCAGGATCTGATAGGTCATCAATCATTCTACCATTATCGGGGCTGAAACAATTTCATGAAATGGTTGGACACTTTGTGGAAATAACAAAAGATGCAATCGAAGGGATGACTGGGGCAAATGTGCGAAATGTGGACCCCCCTCAAAGTCAAAGATAGTCTTGGGTTTTAAAAAACTCATGATATGATATGACAGGACATGACATGAAATGAAGTATATGGTAAAAGAAAAAGAATGTTATTTGAATTTGTGAACCTGTGTATACACCTACCCCACCCGCGTGCTTCTTCAATTGAAATTTGAATAATAATCCGACATGGAAATAATTATGAACAGAATAATAAGCAAGAAAAGCAAAGCTAGCTTTTTTTTTTTGTTATATTGTGAACAGTTTGATTTCTAGTGGTTTGTTGGCTTGATTGGGGATTTGGATAAGGTTGTGTTTTGGCCATTTATTTGACTTGACATTATTAATTGTAATTGTTGTTACTTGATATGAAGTCATTTTATATGGGTTTGGGATTGTATTTGCAACAAAATGGAAATTTAAGGTTAGTATTTAGACAATTTGAAAATCTGGACTGAATTTGTGATCTTGGGTTGATCATATGGACGAAATTTGTAACTTTGTTTTAAGTTTATTAAATTATAAATCTTTATTTTATATGGGTTAGGGTTTAGATTGAAGTTATAATTTTGGGTTAATTTCATGTACCAAATTTGTAATTGTGTCTTAAATTTATTATTTTCAAATTGTTGTTACTTTATCATGATTATTTATTGATTTGTGAACGCTATGATTTATAATAAAATTACAAACAAATACAGCATTATTTTATTAAAATAAGTTTACAAAAAAAAAAAAAAAAAGGTGCGTTTGGTTGTGGAAAATTGTTTTCATTTTCTACGAAAATGATTTTAGAAAATAGAGGTGAGTTTTCATTTTCAAATTTCAATGAAAATTTTAGAAAACGCGTTTGATTGAAACCGGAGGAGTTTATATAAATATGAAAAAAAAAATCATAATATATTCTTATATTTTCTGTACCAAATTTTATAAAACATTATTTAATACAGTATCGTCAATTTCTAAGAAAAATATTTATGGTACATTTTTAATTGATTTAATTAGAAAAATCGAAATTTATTTCCATCCATTTATGTATCAAATTTTTTGATTCCTAATTACAATGTTTAAGTATAACTTTGCGACCAAAGTTGTTGGTTTTTATCAAATATATACGTTAATTCGTACCATTTTATTTTCACTTTTTATACAATAATACATAATAATTGATCTAGATTTGTTAATTATTTATAACAAAGTCATAAAAATATTAAAAAATCATTTTGACGTTTAAAAATAACCAGTTTATTTAGATTTTAGTTTATTTTAGTAGTCTGCAGATGTTAAAAAAACAAACAATCTTCTTTTTTCAGACTGCAGACGTTTGATCCACCCCTTCTACTGCAGATGTCTACAGATGTGGTCCGCAGACTGCAAACATTTTACTAAAAAAAAAAAAACAGTATCTAAGTCAATAAGATTACTCTAATTCTATACAAATGGAGTAAGAGAAAGGCAGGATGATCGGTAGCTCCCACCATAAAGTTAGGAGATTGTTTCGGCAGAAGACTTCCGATAGCAAAGAAAATAAAAATACAAATACAAATACAAAGGGCTTAATAACCAAAGGGTCTTTGTCTTAGTGGTAAGGAGAGGCTATCGTAATTGAGATGTCATATGTTCAAGTCTCCATGGAGACATATGTTGTTATTAGGAGTAAATTAGTTTGTCTTTTTCAGAAAAAAGACTAATAACATAAAAAACAATATATTTTATAAAATTTTCCGATTTAACACCTAGTTTTAGTTTGTGATAAAAACAATAAATTTTTTGATAAAAGTTCTATCACAGCTATTATTACATACAAATGCCGGTCAAACAATGTAATTTTAAAGATGTTAAACTAAATTGTTGGCAAAATATTGTGTCTTTTTGTTTTTGTTTAAATTAGAAAAAGTTGTTTTTTTTGGTAATTTTCTATGAATAATTTATTTGTTCTCACAATAAAAACATTTAATAAATTGACAACTTTGACTAGATTAAGTTTTTTCAAATAATTTTTGGTTTTTGAAAAACATGATTTTTACGGGTGGGTTTGTTTTTATGAAAAACAGACCGAGTAAATAAATCCGACAATCCCAGTAATAATTTAATATTTGTTAGATTAAATTATAGAAATAGTTCATGTATTTATATGAAAGATGCACTCCTAGACAAAATTATAAAAACTGAAATTTGCTGTTTGGTTTTTTAATACAATCTGAAATTGAATGATTTTTCAAACCGAAAGAGCTGAAACTAAATTATTGAAAATGGAACCAAATGATTTTTCAACAGAAAAAGAGTAAATTACACGAATCGTCCCTCGTGCAGATGCTAAAATGCACGCTTGGTCCCTATTTTCAGAAATTAACTCGGACCGTCCATTGTTTGGTTAAAAGTTGCACGCTTCATCCTTCGTTAATTTAAATTTTTACGGTCTGATGTGGACATATATCGATATATTTATTTATTTATAGATGACAAAAAATTACAAATATTTATATAAATTTTTTTTCATTCAATTTTATTTATAATTTTTTACGACCTAAATTAACAAAACTAAAATAATTGCTTTAGTTAATCGTATCGTAAGATTTAATAAATAGATCATTAAAACGGTTAAACAATTCAAAATGAACAATTTAAGGAACCAACTTAGACCGGTATTATTCAAATGCCCAAATGAAATTGTCTGATTCGAGCATTGACGACTCCCGCCGTAAGGTCCCCGCCGGCCACCACAATGTTACGGTGATGACGATGGCCGGAGTTCCTACACCACCTCCTGTGAAGCCATTCCAAATGGTACATTTTCTTACTTACACATGCTTTTACCTCATGCAACATCGAAAAAGAAAAACCCTAACTCATTTCATAGATAGAATATGAATATGATGATCACACAGTGAAATTGTATGTTTTAATCGTCAGAATTGTCGTAAGAATCAGTCGAATAAGATCAATTGCACCAAAAACTGAACAATAATAATAAAAAAAAGCCAAATTCTCATTTGATCGAGGATGATTACAAGTTATTTGTAGCGAATTGTTGAAGAAGATATAGACTAATTAATAATGAAATCGAACAACCAGAAAGGCCAATTCATTTGATCAAGGGATGATTACAACAAGATCATGTACATACATATTATATATATTTATTCAAATTCAAATTCAAATTCAAATTCGAATGTCACATTTTCCCTTGCAATTTCTTATCTTAATCCGTTTGTTTGGCCACACAAAAAAGGGGCAAAAACTTAATTAATTACTTACAGAAAAGATTTAAATCTAAACGTATGGTGCTGGCCTGGGCAAATTGCTAACAACGCCGCAAAGCAATGAAGTTTCCGGTAAGTTATACTCGTCTCTCAGGGATTTCTCCGGCGAGAGTACGCTGAAGTACAGCTGCTGTCCCAAATAGAACCTCTCCCACATCTCCGATCTCAAACTCCACATTCCGGCGTTATCAAGGGTGGTCATCACCGCCGCCCAACATCCCGGAAACACAGGTACGGTGTGTCTGCTTACTGCGTCTTCTAGGTTGTAATTCTTCCTCTTCTCCGGACTCCACCTCCCTGGTTCTATCGCCACCGCGAAAAATGAGTACCCATCTAGATGATACGACTGAATCGTGTTCTCTCTGTTCTCAAATATGATCTCCACGAAGTTTCGGAAGGTTGCGTTCAATACATTTGGTGCTACCTTGCAGTTCTTTTCAACTTCCGGTGGTGGCTCATCTGGGACGAGGTTATATTTGAATTCTTTCTCAGCCAATCCGAAATACTCAGAAAGCTTTAATGGCGTCGGTGGGTCCTTATGGGAGACTCCATTCAAAGCAAACCTAAGCTTTCCGTCGATATAATTCCTGCTGTTCACAAACTTCATGGTGCGAGTGATGTTAATCTGTCCGTAATGGTAAGAACCTTGTGGATTTGGCCGGGCGGCACTCGCGGTTAAGTTCCACCGGAATGTTCTGAACTGGTTTATCGACCACGCAACTCCGGCGGTGTTTTCCGGCGGTGGAGGTGGGAGCTCAGGCGATGCTGGCCCGTTTCCTCCGGTGTACCGGATTGTAGCGACGGTGGTCATTAGGGTCTTGGTGAACCTGCTTGTCACCACTAGGTAGTAGTCTTTGGGTGGTTGATCGGCGGCGACTAACACTGACATACATTGGCCCACATGAAGGTCCATTGACATGTAATCATTTTTGCATCAGGTGGGACCCTTCAAGCTCCACTAACTTCATATCATGTCCTTGAAACCTAAAATTAACCGAAGTCCTCATTCCGGCATTACAAAACCTAAACCGGTAAATTTTTCCAGCCTCGAAAGTCCACGACGGTTCCGCCGGTGCGCTGACCTGAGCCGATTTTCCATTGATGTGGAGGCCGTCAGGGCGGCCGATGGAGTTGCCGCCATCGAGAAGATTCTTCATAGACTTGTGACCTTTCTTGAACCAATCTCCGACCACCACTGCAAACTCATCAGCCGGATTATCAAAGGGAACCGGAATCAACGGCCGGCTATGCACTTGCAGGACGCCGATGCCACCAGCCGCCCTATGCAGGGCGGTGGTGGGGTAATAGTAAGTACCGATCTGATCCTTCACCTGAAACTTATAAGTGAAGTTGGTTCCTGGCTGGATAGGGCACATCGTCGCCGGTGTGCCATCCACCCAGGAATTCTTCCGGTGCTGGACACCGTTCCAGGTGAGGAGGAAAGGCTCGTCAAGGTTGTTGAAAACATTGACGAGGATATTGTTGTTACTCGTGCAGTTAATGACGGGTCCAGGGAATTTGTCATTAATTAAAATGACCTGTTGTGGGACACCTAAAGGGGACATTGTCCCGTAGGTGACCTTCCACTCATTGAAGACATAAGGATCTTCTGCGTTCACTAACGTCAATGTGACGCTAAGAAACGCAGAGAAAAAAACAAATTTTAGAGTATCCATCACACAATCCCGGAGACACCTAGAATATATATATTTTTTATATATCGGTGTGTATATAATAATATAAAACAGGATAGATAGAAGAAAATAGAAAATATAAAATTTTATTAAAAGACCAGGAAGAAGAAGTTGGCTTCTTCCAGGTGCTACCTGGGATTGTGGTATCCGTGTGGGCGTAGGAAATGTTTTTATACCATTACAAGACCGTTTTTACTGTTTGGTTCTTCACGTTTTTCTCCAAAAAATCGTTTTGTGTTGTTTCCTTAAATTCCTCGTTTCACAAATACGAGACCCACAATGTTTTTTTTCCTTATTTTACGTTTCTTTTAATGGTCGAAAATGGGTCTTGATAAACTGATAACGTGGATAATATATATTTCACATTTGGTTTGCATTTAAGATATTTTTGTTTACTTTAAAGTTGAAAAAACACCTTTATTGAAATTTATCTTATATTCTTATCTTTTTATTATGCTAGTTTAATTTAATTTATTAAAACATTGCGATATAAAATAGTATATTATTTTAAAATAATTACAAAATCCTATAAGTACCTAAACAAGAAAATGTAAATAATGTCTTTTATTTTTATTTGATTGAAAATTCTGTCATTTTTTTTGAAAGCGGATTAGTTTACATTGATATTACTGATATTTACTTGAGGTATTTTTTACATTATGTAAGAAAAATAAATAAATAAACTTTGGTAACAAAAAAATTAAAAAATATATCATCTACTAAGTACCAAATTAAGTTTAATAGAGTCCCGATATTCTAACTATCCATTATACTTACGTGGTTTTTTATTAATAAATGATGACGTGTTCTTTGTGGCATGGTGCAACGTTCCATCCAGGCTCGCCATGTGTAGAGAAATACCTCATTTCATAAGTACATAACATTTTTTTTTTGTTATATATATTAGAGAATTATATAATTTGTATGTTATATGAAATATTTATTGTTGTGTGTGATTGTCTATGAATCAACTCACAATGTAATATTGTGGCTCATGTGCTGCCTAGCTAAGTTGTACAAAAGCGTCACAAAAATACTTAAATTGCTTTAAAAATCCATATCTGCAATGGATATGAAAATAAGAACGAAAAATTATATCAACTAATCTAACTAGATTGAAAGCAACTATATCCATTACCACAACAATCAATGTTCAAATCTGAAACCAGAATATTTGTCTTCAAGAACTATATCCAATACCGCAACTAAATCTATATTGGTTTTATTTTTCGACCTCAATAGAGTGGATAGTGTTAAATAGTGTTATTGTTTCTTTTGTTTTTATACCCTAATGTAATTCAAATCAGTTTTCAAAAGATGATTTCATTCCATTGGAGGGAGAAAAAAAGAAGTACAAAAATGAAAACCCATAAAATGGGACTAAAATATATATACTAAATATACATTCAACAAAATAGCTCGAAAACATGTATACAAAATCATTTTGATAAATTAAGTTCCACCTAAGCTCAATCCAAAATTATACACAGAAATTTGACCATAAATACATAAGACTAAAAAGTTCGATGATACTTCAAGTCAAGTTTTTAAAATCTAAAACTCAAACATGCTTATATTTCAAACTCGTACTTGTATAGTTGTATTAGACTATTTGTATGTCAATAATAAGCCTGTATGAAGAAGAAATATGGCGTTGTGCTTAGAAAAGATATTTGAATCATTAATGTTTGGGCCTTTTGGCCTTTTAATGAACTCGTTTTTTGAGAACTTGTGGAATAAAATCGGACTTTTTATTATTTTTATTATTATTATTATTATTATTTTTTCAAAATCGATTTTTTGAGAACAGGACCGGTAAAGCTGAACTCGTGGTTTAGAATCAGTTTTATTTTTTTATTTTTTTCAAATCGAAAACCTGTCTTTTTTTTTAAACCGAAAAATCGATTGATTAACAAAATTTTATTTTTCAAAAAACTAAACCAACTATAACCGAAACTGATTTCTTGTAGTAACTGGGTTTCTTTTAAACCTAAACCGGTATTTGTGCACCTCTACTACTGTGCACAATATAATGACTTACTGACGTTTTATTGTGTATTTAATCTTTTGGGCTTTTGGGCTTTTGCATAATATAATATTGTGGTTTTAACTTGGATTGTTTGAGAGTATATGGATTTATGGGCCGCTTAATGCATTATTTATAAATAATTTTATTATCTCCTTGTTAGGTATTTCAATTTTCAATAGTTTTGTGTCAACAAAATGTGTCTTTAAAATCTAATGATGGGAAATAAGTTATTTAACGTTATCTATATAAAATTTTCACACATATTTATGTTAAAACGTAAAAAATGGTATTTATATGCTAAAATTCAGTGTAATTATATTATGTTTGTTTTTTTATGATGATGTATTCCCGCGTTAATATTTTTGAATCAGTCATTACTTTTTGTACTTCATTCGATTATGCCGTACTGTTTACAACTCACTCAATCGTTTATTATTTGACTATGAATGTTTAATTTTTAATTACATTGTGTGTAGAATGCAGCTTTAGATTCTTTTAGTCGTTGGTACGTATCAATATCAACATTTTTCATAGAAATTTATATATACACGAAAATGGTCTAATAGATGATAATATTATCAATCATAGATAACGTATTGACCCTATTAATTGTGACTTTTTCCATAATATTATTTATTATAATTGACCATAAATTGATATCCCGTTTCCATGTACTTTATATATAAGCATCCGATTTAAATAATTGATATAAGAGTAGGCTTGCTCCAAACATGTATATAAAAATTATTAGACTTAAAACAAGGTTTGACTCTGGAACAACTACCATATTTTTATAATAAAATTCATGTATGTCGATAGTTATATTGTTTTGTACTCTTTCGTGAGACGGAAAGACCAGTAAATATTGTAGATTTGTAAAGATTTAAAGACATGATTAATTTGGTCATGCATTGTTTTTATAGATTGTATGTCGGTGATGTTGTTAGAACTTGAAAGTTAATTTAATAAACATTTTTAACTTGGGCATGTCGTTGTTGAGTACCCACAAGGCCACAAGCCCACAACGACGACTTTTGTTACCCTTATAGCAACCATTTTTTTTTGTAGTGTTTGTCCAATTGTAATCACTTAGCATGCTCTCCAATTGTAATCACTTAGCATGTTCAATTTTTATAAAGAACTTTCAGAAAGTAATCTAAATTCTACTAGTTAGCTTCATATTCCTCGATTTTAGCTCCATATTACCAGTGTTGGTCCGCTGATTTTGAGTTCCCTATACGAAAATTAAAAAGATGGGCCCTAATAGTGAGAGCAATTAGAAAAAATAATTAAAGAAAACAGTTACATCATAAATGGGGAATTAAAAAAACTAACTAATAAAAAAAAAGTGGGAATGAAAATAAGAAAACTAATTAATAAAAAGGTGGGGTAAGAAAAAAAAGTGATTAATAAAAAACAATATTGAAGGTAGGGTAACAAGAATTAAACCTTGTCCACGTAAAAGGAAACTATAACTTTTTTACAAAGATGTACAAGTAAAATTTATTTATTACTAAAACAACGATTACTAAAAAAAAAGTTGTAGATGCCGGGGATCGAACATAGGGGAATACACACAACAACATTTGCCAGTTGAACCAGAATTCGTTTTTATATTTTTTGCGTAATGTTATCTGTATATATTAACATCTTTATTATATAAGTTGTCTGAAATTCGGGCGTTATTTTTTTCGGGGTCTTGTGGGAGTGCACACCCTGCACACCCTCAGGACCGGGCATGCAGCTACACAGGGTCCGATTTTTTTTTATTATGTATTATATATTAATATGGATATGTGCCTTTTTTTACTAATTCGTTTGGGGTATTTGAAGATATTTACATCCTCAGGACCGACCATGTTCACTATGACAATGAATCTCTTATCTTTTGGTTAAGAGACATCCTTCCAATATACGTGATAGCGTTTTATCAAAGTCTTGTTTGAATTAAAATTAAACTAACCCTGTTTACATGTTGAATCATGCCTCAAATACCCCGGATCACTTTTCACTTGGTGGCATATAAGTTCAATGGCAATCTAATTTCGTGTTTGCTTTATGCATAAATATTTAAAACTGTGAATAATAATAACGATGTCAATAAATAATTCTAATATATGGTGATAATAATTAAAAGAAAAAAAAAGTAATAGTATAAATACGAAATAAATACATACTATCAATATGGATATAATATTAATAATAACTTATGCTAAAAATATAAATTTATATTGTAACTATAATTATAATTATAAAAATAAAAGCCATCTAATAATAGAGATATATGTCCCAAAAAAATATTCACAATTAATCCTAGATCTATGTGTCACTTTTATTTATGTGTTTAACGCGTCACAACTAAGATATTTAACAAAGTTTTTTTAATTTGTCATTTTTGGCAAACCAAAAAGCTTAAAAGCTAACTTTTGAAAAATTATTTAGACTAGTTTTTTTTTTTTTAAATTTTCAAAATAAACCCTTAATTAATTATAAACATCATATTTTTCTAATGACCTTTTATGTCTTCTTATATATTTCAGCTAACTTATCAACTAGTTTCTACAAATTTTTAGTTTTTATCAGCTAACAACTAATTTTTCAGATATCAACTAGTTTTTCAACTAACAACTATTTTTTCAGCTAGTACGTCAAAGGTAGCTTTAGTTTTACTTACAAATCTCCTATCTTTACAAACATAATAAATCCACTGGTATGCGAAAGTGTAGACCTACTTACCAAAATTGGAATTGAAACCTTTGATAACTAACTCATATCCATTCCAAATTTTGCGACAATGCATTTGTATACATCTAGTATACTATAAAAGAAGTCATTTGACTTTAATCACTTTGAATATTGGAAGATTTTTCAATTTCTTTTCTTAATTCATTTATTACACTCATTTCTTATTTTAATTCCATATATTTTTCAATATTTTTTGAATGCCACAATT